TGTGACCCAGTATGTGGTCTATTCTGGAGAAAGTTCCATGTGCACTTGAGAATAATGTGTAGTCAGTTGAGTTCAGATGGATAGTTCTGTAAATATATGTGTGAAATCCATCTGATCCAGTATATCATTTAAAGCTCTTGTTTCTTTGAAGATCTTGTGCTTAGAGGAATTGTCATTTGCAGAAAGTGCTGTTTTGAAGTCTCCTAATATTACTAATATTAGTGTATTATTATCTAAGTATGTCTTTACTTTGGTTATTAATTGATTTATATACTTGGCAGCTCCCACATTAGCGGCATAAATATTCATGATTGTTAGGTCTTCTGGTTGGATAGATCTCTTAATTATGATATAGTGTCCCTCTTCATCTCTTACTACTTTCTTTGGGATAACATTTAAGTTACCTAAGATTGTTACCACAGCTTTCTTTTGAGGACCACTTGAATAGTAAATGGTTCACCAATGTTTCATTTTCAGGCTGGAGGTGTCGATATGTCTAAAAGGAGTCTCTTGTAGACAGCAAATAGATGGGTCTTGCTTTTTAATCCAGTCTGAGACCCTGTGTCTTCTAATGGGATCATTAAGCCCATTCATGTTCAGAGTTCCTATTGAAAGATATGAATTTAGTGTCATCATAATACCTATTCAGTCCCTGTTTTTGTGGATTATTTCTTTGTGCTTCCTCTTTCTTTTACAGATTCCCCCTTACTATTTCTTGCAGAGCTGTTTTGGTGGTAACATATTCTTTAAGTTTCTGCCTATCTTGGAAGCTCTTCATTTCTCTTTCTATTCTGAATGAGAGCCTCGCTGGATATAGCATTCTTGACTGCATGTTCTTCTCATTTAGTACCCTGAATATATCCTGCCAGCCCTTTCTGGCCTGTCAGGTCTCTGTGGAGAAGCCTGTTGTTAATATAATATTTATCCCCATATAAGTTATGGATCTCTTGTCTCTCACTGCTTTAAGGATTTTCCCTTTATCTTTGAAATTTGCAAGTTTCAGTATTAACTGTCAAGGTGTTGAACGGTTTGTATTGATTTTGGGGGGAGACCTCTCTATCTCCTGGATCTGAATGCCTGTTTCCATCTCCAAATTAGGGAAGTTCTCACCTATGATTTGTTCAAATATGCTTTCTGTCCTGCTGGCCCTCTTGGAGCTCTCTGGAACCCCAATTATACATAGACTTTTCCTTCTGAGGCTATTATTTATTTCCCTTAGCCTTTCCTCATGATCACTTAATTGTTTTTCTCTCTTTTCCTTTCTTGCCATCTACTTGTCTTCTGTGTTGCTCTCTCATTCTTCCACCTCATTAACTCTCTCGTTGGGACCTCCAGTTTGGATTGCATCTCATTTATTTTAATTTGGGCTGATTAGACCTAAATTCTGCAGTCATGAAGTCTCTTGAATCCTTTATCCCTTTTTCCAGAGCCACCAGTTGCTTTATAATTGTGTTTCTGAGTTGGCTTTCTGACATCTACTTGTAATCCAAATTCTGTAACTCTGTACAGAAAGTACTATTTTATGATTCTTTCTTTTGTGGTGAGTTCTTCTTTCCAGTCATTTTGCTCAGTGCAGGGTGGCTGTATGGTGGGCTGAGTCAAGAATATCAACCACGACCTAAGAAAATTTCACCCTAGATAATTCTTAAGAGGTCAGAGATCATAAATTGAAAACAAAGATCAGAACGAAAGAAAACTAAAGGACCACTAAAGTGAAAAACAAATTAGTAAAAATAAAAGGCCAAGAATCCCAAAGTAGAAGAAAAAATGAAAAGAAGAGAAAAAAGAAGAGAAAAAAAGCAAAAGTCAAGAGGAACAAAAAAAGAGAGAGAAGAATAAAATGGGGGCAGGCTGGGAAATGGTGGTGGTGACGAAGTTGTAGTGGGGAGAGATTGTAGCCTACCTGAGGGGTCCTAGAGGGTGATCCTCTTGGTTCTGAGTGTATTAAGTTTGTATTAAGTTTTGTATGTTAGAAGATGCTCAGTCAGAAATTTCTCTACCAGAAATACTTGTATAGAGCCCCACCATTGACCACCAAAACATAAATGAGATAAAAGAGGGGGGCAGAATGGGAATGAAGAGAGAATATAATCTCACAGAATGAACCAGAACGGTATATTCTGGGTGCATGCTGGTCATGTTTTAGAAGGTAAACTTCTGCCCTTGTAGAACAAAATGAGGCAGAGAAAACAAAAAGCACTAAACAAAAAAAAATCTTGTATATCTCCCAAAATGAAGTTGAGTATGTTGAAGGGATCTAGAAGTGGAAAATATATCTAAGACCTGTAATTGCAGAAATATGAAAGTCAAAAAGGAAGAAACTTAAAAATGAAGAGGTGGTAAAATACTGTAGTTAAGGTGGAAAAAGAGAAAAAAATGGAAATTTATACTCTGATATAAAGACGAGTTGTATTGGAAAAAAGAAAAAAAAGGAAAAAGGATGGGTACCTTTTAGTTCTATATACTGTAAATCCCTTGACTTCCCCTGGAGCTTTCCAGAGCTGCTTGGTCAAGAACTTGCTGTTCCCCTGTCCTTCCAGCTGGTCTTCTAGGGGAGGGGTCTGCTGTGCTGATTCTCAGGTGTCTGTGCCTTGGTGGAGATGCTTCACCCCCTGCCAGGTGCAGGGCTCAGTGGGAGCTGTTTATCCTGTGAGGTGTTTTTCCCCTGAAGGCCCCACCTCTCCCAGGCACAGGGTGAAACAAGGAGAAAAAACAATGGTGGCAGCCAGATTTCCAGCTCTGGATTCAGCTCTGTTAGTAACTAAGGCAGTCTCCCAGTCTGCACTGGCCTAGGTGCTCCCAGGCCGGGGTGGGTATGCTGATCTGCACAGCTTGGGGCCACCCAGTGGCAGGGGAGTCCTTGCTGTCCTGTGTCCTCCCTACTTCCACCTGTCTCAGGGGGAGTGCAGGATCCTGGGCTGTGTCTGCTTTAGCGCCCTGGGATCCGGGGCCCTGTGCTGCTGGAATCGTGCTCCTGGGGTGCGTGGCTCCTGAAGGCAGCCAGGCGCAGCCACCTCTGTCCAGGGCCACCTGCCTAACCGACTGGCTTCTCCCAGATGCCCTGCCAAGTGCATGCTCTAGCCCTTTACCAGGATCGGCCCACAGTTTGTGGCGAGCTTTCCCCTGGGCACACTTCCTCTATTATTGACCCCGGGAGACTGGAGGATTTACTGCCCCTCCTGCAATTCTGCTCGATTTCTCTGCCGAGCAGTTTTCTGTCAGGGAAGAATCCGGTGTGGATTTTTAAAGTTCCCGCTTCTCCAGGGCTGGGATTTCCTGTCCTAGAGGCTTTAGGCAGGCTCTTTGTGGTGCCCCTCCCCCACTGATTCTTTTTTTTTTTTTTTCTGCCTTCCTACCTTGTTAGAAATGAAAACCTTTCTCTCTGTAGCGTTCTGGCTGTTCTCTCTTTAAACTTCAGGTCAAATTCGTAGGTGTTCAGGATGGTTTGAAAGTTATCTAGGCAAGTTGGTGGGGCCAGGTGAGTTGAAGACCTCTACTCCTCCACCACCTTGCCCCATGTCTCTGGATATCAATACATTTATACAATAGATAAAATCCAGGCTGCTCCAGAGAAGTGGTGGAGAGGAACCAAGTGTTTGCAGCAGCCATCTCCATATGGAGCAGATGCTGAACTACCACCCAGAGTATGTTTGCAAATCTCTTGGCTATATGTGCCCTAGATGCTCTGAGGGCAACTTGAACTCTGATGTCCCAAGGATACTGAAAGACAGCATCTGCCACTGTGGCAGGAATGGGAAGATTTGGAGGGAAACTGTGCTAACTAGTGCAAGAGACTGCTCTACCCATGCCTAATGCTTGAGTCTACATATAGGAAATCTTAATCCTATTGGGCTGTTGGACTGATGGATCCCTTTGATAATCTGATTAAGTCTGTGGGCCAGCTCTAGAAAAATTATATACACATACCCACAAAGATATTCAGGATATCCTTTAAGGGGTGTTGGGAACTTCCTGGGGGTTCTACTTCAAGTTAACAGTTGACTGGGCTCTGACATGATGTTTCCCTAAATTTCTCCTTGGCATTTTCTTAGTCTAAGCCCTCTCCTTCCTTTCATCATTCCTTAGCTCACCTATTCCTTGGGCCAGGTTCTTATCTGAAATGCTGCCTAGTTTTATCCCTTGTTTCCCTTTGGGGCCAACATGGTGCTACAAATGCCCACTTTATTTCTTGTTTAGCTATTACTCTCCCCAGAGGATGGATAACACTGTAGCGTCTTGACCTCAATCAACCTTCACCCTGAAAATATAACCCTGAGAAAAACAAAGAACTTGTGGCACAACAGAGGTCTCTTAGGGTACTTAGCAGATCTTCAGGTTATGACTGGTGAATTTGTCTTTTCTCACCAGGTAGAGGGCTCTAAGGAATATAAACATTTATTCATCCCTGTCTCCTGGAAGCTCTGAGCTGGCAGAGTAGGCACTCTTGAGTATCTGACGAACTGGGTGACCACAGAGAAGGAGCTCTGGATCAGTTCATAAGATTTTTCTCTGGCTTCAGTGCCTACCACAGTAAAGTCCACTCTATTATTTCTAGGCCAAAGGAGTGGGGAACAAAACAACAGAGGTTTCTTTTCGTTTTTCAATTGCTGTTTAGTGCCCAATGAGGGTAAGCAAGGAAATGAGCCAAAAGCCTGCTAGGTAGCATCAGGAAGCCTGGGTCTTCCCATTGTCAGTGAGGTTCTGAGCAGATTCACCAGATGCTGGCTGGGCTCTATAGCGATGCCTGTCTTCTGGAACCCAATGCTTCTAAGTGAGCGGCCCCCATTCTACAGCTGAAAGGAGTGAAAGTGGTTTGAATCAGGAAGTATGAATGGGGCCTGGTGGTGAAAACAATTAGGGGCAGTGGGCCCAAGGGGCCATAGGACCAAGCTTCTGCTTAAAGTCCTATTATGATCCCAACTTCTCCAAGGCCCCCCAGAAAAAGGCGAGTATACTGATCTGCCCCAGCACATACTCTCTTATTTTACAAACACCAAAACTAACAGTTGCCTGTTTATTGTTTTTTAAAACAAAATTTAAAAACCCCAAACATTCAAAATTCCATGGTGGCAAAAAGCTGAGCTGATATGGCTGATGTGGGCTGTCTCCCAGGTTGTTTAATGGAGCATCAGGTGCACTGGCGGGGGCCAGGAGTGGGGGGGGACAAAAGAGGCAGGGAATGGGCTGTTTTCCCAGCAGGGCTGGATAAACACTTTGCAACAGAGTGGGTGTCAGAAGAGCTGCAGGCCAGTTTTGAGTCCATGCAGCTGGCCCTGGCTCCAGAGAAGGCCCTCCAAGTTGCTGCTGCCATTGCTACTGTTGCTACAGTTGTCACTGCCCACGCCACAGCTCAAGCCAAGGGTGCTGTAGAGAGAGAAGAGGGTTCAGTCAGGGAAGGAGGCAGCTTTGGACTCTGGAAGGGTTAAGGGTGTTTGACTGATCTATGTCTATGGAAAGAGCCTACCCTCCTGCTTGGTTTTACAAAGACTATGGAGGAAATCTGAGAAACTACTTCAGATGGGCCCCAGGGGTAGTTCTGCCTTCCCCTCAATTGAGAGGAGGGAAGGACACTTTTCAAATGAAGCTTTATTCAGAGCCCTAGTATATAAACCAGATGAAAGCAGAACTATTTGGGTCAAGGCAGAGGGGAGGGCCCATACCACCCCACCACAGTGGCCAGCTTAACAAGTCTCTTCCTAAGGTCCTAGATGTTGGGGTCCCAGAGGACCCAGGCTGGATCCCTCCCACCCCCAACAACTGGTTAAAGGGTCCAAGGCCAGCATTGGGCTACAGGGCTAGGCCCAGATCCCACCCCAGGATTGCAAGATTGCTCTAGGGAGAGAACTGCCCTCCCTGCCCTGGTGCTGCTCAGAACACTCTTGCTTCCCCCTGCTTCCTGCATGTAAAAGGTCCTTCCAGGTAGATGAGGGTGACAGCTGAGAGCAAAGCCATCATCCTTCCCATCAGGCAGATCCATGGTTACACTAACTGCAGCTGAAAAAACCCTTAGAGATGATCCAGTCCCATTCCCTCCATAACCCACCATCTTACAGACAAGGGAACTGAGGCCCAGAGATGAAAAGGGACGTGCTCAAGGCCACATAGCCAAGTCAGGGATAGAGCTGAGACAAGAAGCAAGAGTGGGCATGCCTGCTCCAGCAGAGGAAGCCTCCCTACTACATGGGATGTGGGAACTGGGCTGAATCGGCTTCCTTCTGGAATTAACAGCTCTACCTGCCCATACTTGATACTCTTATGCTCATCAAGACAGCCGTACCCAAGATGAGAGGAGGTCTCTCAGACACATGGGCCCCACACCCAACTACAGACCACCTAGTTTCCCCAGCTGCCTCCTCTCTTTCTCCAAGAGGCCTGCTGCCCCCGTGACCTGTTAAGACAGAGAGTCTATAACACTGCCTTGGGCCTGGCCTGCTGCTGGGTCCTACAGCCCTTTCCCTGAATATCCAGAGGAAGAGGGGCTCATCTCCCAGGGAGTGGACAGGCACACAGGGACAGACTCAGTTTCAGGGGCCCACAGAGGTCATTCTTTTGTACTCACAGGATTCTTCTGGTCACAATGGCCCCACATTCTGGAATGTACAGGCCCTCTCGATGGGCTCCTTTGTGTTACCAGCAGAGCCCTTCAGTGAGGGCTGCTTGGTTCCTGGCCTCCTGATGACCCAAGGGCTCCCATGCCTGTGGTCCAGAGGCGAGTTTCGAGGGAGAGCATGGAGCCCTGGCACAGGCCTTGCTACCAAGATGCCTGGACAGTGTCGGGAGGCCTACTGATTACTCTGTGCATTTTTGGACAAATCTCATCCCCTTTCTGGGCCTTAGTTTTCTCCTTGGAAACAGGAGGAAGTTGGATTACAGCATTCGTTCTTGACCTTTAGGGAGTGGTGGACCCTTTAGAGAATCCGAGGAAAGCTATGAAACTCTCTCCTCCCCAAAATGTGTGCACACATACTCTCTCTCTCTCTCTCTCTCTCTCTCACACACACACACACACACTCACACACACTCACACACACACACAGGATGCAATCTGAGAGGGGTTCCAAAACAGCTCTTGTGTGGCTACCTCAATGCGCACGCCCTCAACTAGGGACTGAGAGTCCTGGCAAGGGCCCAGCCAGTGACTGGAGCTTACACATCACTTAACCACTGACTGGGGAGGAAGTTACCTTCCCTACCCATCCCACTTTGTGTCCCTCCCTACCTCCTTCACGAGGCAGAGAAAGGGGTAAGACATCCTGCTGCCATTGGCACTCACCCAGTCTTGCATGTTGGGGGTTCCAGCCGCTGCTCTAGCACAGGCTGGTCCAAAAGATACATGGTGTCATAATTCTCCAGCATAAGCTCTGCTGGATCCTCAGTCTGACCTGGCATTAGGCCTAAGGGAAAGGTATTCCATCGTACATCTTCTGTGGAGCAAAGGGAAGAGGCAAGAATAGGCTGATTAGGTAGTTATCAAACTGGTGTCTACCTGCCCACCTCAATTAGTCTGCTCAGCATGGAATTTCTATGTATGTCCAGCCTTATTCCTGTCTGCATCATTTCTCATGAGCTCCTCTCTTTGCGTTCCCCACCCCTTCCATACTCCCCTATTCACTCTTTGTTGCCCTTCTTTCCCTCCATGTGTTTACACACACCAACACATGCCACCACAACCCATCCCAAGTCTATACATGCCATATACACAACTACAAACATATTTGTTCCTCTCAGCTCTTTCCCACTTCCCCAGACATGTCTTCAACATAAACACAGACCTGGCTGTATCACTGCCTCAACCTTTCACCTGCTCTATTTCTATACACACATATATCCTGGAGAGTCTGGATGCCCCAGAATTCTCACACCTCATCCCTAAACCTCAGAGAATCTGAATTACCTAGATTTCCTGCACATCTATAAACAACCACCACCCCCAAAGTGTCTGAATGCCATTTATTTCTTAGTGGCCTTGCCTTGAGAGATATGCATACACCCACATAACACCTCAGGGTGGACTCTCTCTCAGAGCTATTATACCCCCCTGCCCCCTGTAAGGTCTTATTGCCCCAGATGTACACACAAAGAACATCTCTTATCCAGGGAAGGACGGTCTTACTGCATATCCCACTCCCCACTGCCACCTAAGTATACACGCATAAAAACACACAGACTTCCATTCGATGAATATTCCCAGTTTCACTCCCTGCCTCCTATACCTCTGATTCACAGGCATACAAGCAGGAAATCTTAATGTCCCTGTATCCCCACATACGCATATGCCCACACAGAAGCAGCAATGGAAAGAAGGGAGAAGAAAAGACTTTAATATCCTAGCCTTTCCACCTTTATAAACCACTCTCTTACCACCCCACAAACATTTCACTTTAGAATGAACCATATCAGGCACTTCCCAACCCTCCATCTAATCAGTTAAACACTCTCTACATAGTATTATACTAAACCCTCATTCCCATCCTTATACCAGTACAATCCAATGTTTTGAAGGAAAACTTTCATGAGGTCCTCCAACTCCCTGGTACCCAAAAAATTTTCACTGTCATAATGTCCCTGGCATTCTGGAAAGTATCACCCATGGATTAGTTTTTCAAGTTACCCATAGAACCACTCACCCTGACCCTTTTACAGGAAGAAGTTGTGCCTATCTCAATTCCTTTTGTTGCCCTATTAATACAAAGATACCTTCGTACACAGGGACTACATCCCCCATGTCTGTCACTGACCTGACCACCCTCCCTCCCCATCGCTAACATCCCCAACCCTGTCTGCATCACAGACCCTGCCTCTCCAACCTGACATCTATGTACATGTCCCTCAGTGACAAGAGAGGCTACTTCTATGGCTGTCTCACTGCATGTTCTTACACTTTTCCATATACCCCCTACTTCTCATTACTGCCACTTCTCTTCCTCAGAGATACCTCCTGGATCCCAAGTCTCAGCAACACTGCCTCTTCTTCGAAAAACATACATGACCCTGTGTACATTTATGCACAGATGCATAGTGCCCACTTCATTCATATAACTTCTTTCGCAGCCCTTAAACTCTCTCTCTCTCTCCCTCTCTCTCACACACACACACACACACATACACACACACACACACACACACACACACACACACACACAATCTGCCTATGTCAATGCCTTCCCATTCAATATTTACAAAGACCCCAAACAGCCCTCCTTTCCTTAAGAGATTGCTCTGCTACCATGCTTTGGTATGTCCAGCACATGCAGGCCCGCACACGGACATAAAGCACTCAGTGCCTTTATGCCCTAGCTCTTCCACATACATGTCCACAAAAGGACAAAGGCTCTACCTTTGCCCCTAAGTTCTTTTGTTTCCTCCCCTCTCTCTCCCTATCATTCCCTACCATGCCCACCCTACGCCATACCTAACCCCAGCCATTTTCTTTCCTCTTTCAGGTTTCATCATACACTGCCTCCAGTGTGTACACATACACACATGCTCCCCACCCCGACACATACACCATACTATTCATCCCTTCAGGATCTCCCTGCCTTAAGGTTCCTGTTCCCCAACCTAAACAAAGGCACTCTAAAATACATCCCTTAAGAGGAGCAGATTCACGTATCCCTACTTTATCACCTCATCTTCTCTATTCCTCTCCAGGTTTTGTCTCACTAACTTGTATGCCCACCTAAAAACCACACTAATCCTTTATTTTCACTCTTCTGGTCTCCCTTCCACTTCCTCTAATTTAATACCCCTGGTTTCCTTTTCTCATAAACACAGCAAAATCCTGTCTCATCACCACCCAGCCTCCATGTGTACACACATATTCATTCACATACACATAGAAAGCGTTACTGTCTCTCTGATCCTGGATCACTGTGTGCAAAAAAACACATGCAGAATCACATATATCCACCCACTTCTTGCTTTTTCCTTTGTATTTTGTTGCTCAGTGCCTACATCCACACCATCCCCGGTGGGGCACTCTGCATGAAGGAGCCAATAGCATGACAGTTCTTAGGGCTCTGAAGCTTACACACTATCTTAAAGAGGAAAGCCAAGTGTCATCCACACACGAGGTTGCCTCCCAGGCTTGCCTCATGCTGGCCACCTTTTGCTACTTCCCATCTCTTCTCTGGGGTGGAGGGAAGCCTTAAGAGCCAGGAAGAGAGGGAACACTGGTGAAATAGAAAGTAGGTTATCAGGCTGCTTACCAGAGCTAACTTGCCATGGAGAGCCCTGCAAAGCTCCTCTTTTATGGGCCAGGAGTCTGGCATTCTCAGCAGTGGGAGATTCCTCCTCAGACAAAGGCCCGACCTCCATTCTATCTTCTTCCTCCTCATCATCTTCATCTTCATCATCATCTTCATCCTCCTCCTCCCATTTCTGGTCATCATTTTCCTCTTCTTCCTCCTCCACCTGATCTTCCAGATCTTTCTCATCCTTTTCATCTTTCTTGAGATCATTTAGGCTGCCATGTTCCTCCTGCTGCTGGGTTTCTCCTTCAGTTCCAAAGATGGAGCCAGCTGGTTTGAGGCTCCAATACAGGCTGTCCAATGTGTATGGAGACTTCCCAATGGGGGAGGCCTCTGAGCCCTCCTGTACTAGGCCTTTTTCTCCAGTCTGGGTATAAATGGAACAGATGCGCAGCAATTTCTCCTGCTCCTCAGCTGGCAAGACCTGTCCCATGGCTTTGAAGACACTGAGAAAATGGAGGAATGGGGTAAGAAAGATTCAAAATCTCAACTCACTTTATACCCCAATACTCCACTCTCTTGAGTTTCCAGACTTGCGTCTGAAAGGCAGTGCAGAAGAGCAGACAGAAACAAACACGACCAGGACCCTGAACAAACTCTGTGATTTATCTCTGTGGCTCACTTCTATTCTCAGTAAAATGAGGATAATAATGGCACCCGACTTATAGGGTTGTTGGAAAGAGTACATAAGTAAGGTAGCTCACATAGAATGGCTGGCACAGTGCCTGGCACGTAGGGAGTCCGCATGCAATAAATGATAGCTATTTGTCTGTACTAAATGCTATGGAAATACACAAACTAGCCAATAGGCCAATAAGATTGGACATGAGAATGGCAGATCCATCTCTTCCCTTGGCCTAGCTGAGGGATTTGTCCTGAGCATCAAAGATATGCCTGGAAATGCATTGGTCTCCTTTTGCATGAACACAAAATGTGATCCCTTTCCAAGGGCAATTATAGCCCAGCCTGAAATGGAGGAAAAGGAAAAAAAACTTAACAAGACAAAGCTAGATGTGGAAGGGAGGCCAGATGAGCACTGTGGACCTTGGGCACTACAGGAGCTGGGGAGAGGCAGAGGGTACAAGGAGGGCAGGAGAGATCAAGGGAGGGCTTTGTGCAGAAACAAGAGTGAGCATATTGTACTGTGTACATGTAGTGGGAGTAGCCTTGGATACAGGGTAAGGGCTATCCTGGGGAGCTGTGGGAGGAAAAGAAGACTGCAAAGGTTAAATATGTGTGTTGGGGAGAGGGGGTCACCTGACCGGCTCTAAGCACAGGTGATAGCTGCATTTCTGAAGATCATCATGGTGCCCATGTGGAGGATGGCTATGTGGAGGATGGCCTGGATGGGGCAGCCAGGGGGCAGGGAGACCAGGGAGCCAGTGAGGGTTGACCTAGGGAACTGACAGTGAAAATGAGGGGGAGAAGCTGAGGTCTTGGTGACTGGATGGTAGGGGTCAGGCAGAGGGGAGTTAATGATGGTAACAGTGTGCACACAGAGGATGGTACTGACAGCAAAACCACCAACAGACACAGAGCCAATAGGAAGGAGAGCTCCTAGGGAGGAAAAGGGTGAATACTACCTGTACAGCCTCATGTAGAACCAGGCACCTGGTCACTGCTGGAGGCATGGGTGGAGTGGACAAATAGTTTCTTTCTAGGTGTACTGAATTTGTGAACTGTGGGTCATTCATGGAAGTTGCCATATGCTAGGCAGGCTCTCTGGCCACATATGGTTGTTGGTCACTGGGGGTAGGGCTGGGGGCTAGTGAATCTACTGGGAGACTCTTTCTGCAGGGCTAATTTTATATTCCAAGGGGACACTGGCTCAAACTGAATTGATATTGGCTGGCTAGGGGAAACTCTTGAAAAGTTTTCAGCCTTTTTGGAGAAAAAGCCAGAGAGATGCTCACTGTGGTTCAATAGTATGACTAATAATAAATATTTCCCGGTACTTGATATTGGCATATGCTGTTATCACCACTGTTTATTACCCACTCACTATCTCAAGCTGTATAGTCTGACCATTGAAGTGATACAAATCTTGAAATACATCCCCTCTTTGGGTTTGCCTGGTCACAGGTCAGGCTATAGGAAAGACTGTGGATTTTGGACTCACAAAACCTGTGCCCGATTCCTCGTCCCACTGTCAACAAACTGTGTGACTTTTGGATAAATCACTTCACACCTTACTGCCTCAATATCTTTCTTATCAAATAAGGATACAGTATCTCCACCTCCAAAGACTACTATGTCAAATGAAATGACTTCTACAAAAAACACAGCACCATGCCTGACAGTTGCCAGTGGTATCTTTTATTTTTTCTTCTGGGGAAAACAAAGCCAGATTCTCTATTTGCCTAATAACACATGCTTTTCACAATCATGCAATTGAATGGAACATGGTAGAAAGAGCATAGGAGTAAAGACAGGAAACCTGGATTCTGGCCCTAGCTCTAACTTACAGACTTACCACTGACTTACCACATAATACCCAGGGTAATCCTGTGTCTCAATCTGTGTAATGGGGTGATTAGGATTAGATTCACTGATTATTTGGGAAAAGTAGAATCTGTGCACAAAGAGTCATACCCAAGTAAGCCGCTGCTACTGCTGGCATGTGTCACATCCCTCTGGTATACCTGGATTGGGAGAAGATCTCTGTGATTCAGACTTCTCCAAGACCAGCAGCTTCCACTCTGCAGGCACTTAGGATTGGAAAGTACCTTGAAGGCCACCTATCCAAACCTCTCCATGCTGCTTTTTGCATACCCCTACCCCATTACATTTCATTCCATAGTGTTTCTAGGCTTTGGAATTTGTGTTTTTTTCTCCTCCTGAGATTGCTCAAATGCCCTGTCTGTCATGTTTCCCTGACCCCTCCACATCTTTTTGGTTCTCCCAGTTTCCCACCCATCCATATCACTTCTAGTCTAGAGCATACACATTTGGAGATCTGGCTGTTTGGTTCAGTTCTATCTCCTGGAGGTCTTGCCATGGCTTACTTTTTTCTCTTATAAGCTACTACCATGCCCCTAATGCCATCAGGATTCAAGAAAGACTTTCTGACTCTAGGGAGAGATAAGGGTATTAAGAGGATCTTGGCATCCAGACTCCCAATTCATTCAGTCCCCAGACACAGAGTTAGTTGCCACCAAAGACAGCATTGCTGGCAATGAGACAGCAGAGTTCAACGATGTTTACTGAGATCTGTTTAGGCCCTAGATTTGTGTGGTGGTTTAGGGCACAGATATGGCTAATACACCGCCCTTACCTTTGAAAAGCTAAAGTCTGATAGAGGGAAGGAGACACAATGGGAAGTAGACATGGCAACACAAAATCTCAGATTTGGGAAGTGCTTGAGAATCAACAGCATAGATAGTGATACCACCAAGTGAGATAGGGAGCAAAAGAGGAGGATCACTTCGGGATTGGGGTTGGGAATAAAATGACCAATTCTCTTTTGGTCACAGTAAAGTATCTGTCATTGGACGGGGAGTATTGGACGGGGAGATGTCCAATATACAGTCAAATACAAGAGGCTGAATCTCGGGGGAAAGGCCTGAGATAGATGAAAAGATGTGTGCCTTGGCACTTTATAGGAACTAGGAAAAAAGCACAGGCATTTCAAGGAAGGAGTGGTAAATAGCCATTAATGCAGCAGACACAGCAATGGACAAGGGCTCACTGGATTTGGTAATTAGGAGGTCAAAGCAGTTTTTTGGGGAAAATGCCTAATTGCAGCAGGATGAGGAATAAGAGGGTAGTGAGGAAATCAAGACTGTTGAGTGTAGACTATTCTTTTAAGATGTTTTGATGGTGGTGGCTGGGAGAGGAGTGTTATGCTGCTGATTAACCAACATGGGAATGCAGGGTCAAAGGAGATTTTGCTTATGTTATTGCTGTTTTAAGATGAAAAAAACTGAGGCCTGTAAGTTGAAGAATAAGAGGCAGTAGAGCAAAGGAGAGGTGGGGGTGAAGCCCCCGTGATACTGGTAGAGGTGGCTCCAGAGCAAAGGTGCAAGAGGAGGCTTGGAGGTGGGGGCAAGGCCATCTCATCCTGAGACTGGCAAGATGGTTAAGTGTAGATGGAGTTCAGCTGACGAGGACTGGACCACAAGTTGAGGAGCCCTGCTGGATGCTCAAGGAAGCTAGGGTGAAACGGGAGAGGAAGAGGGGCTTGAGGTGAGTGGTAAAAGTTTAGAAAAGTCAGGAAACAGAAGAGAAAGTGGGCAGAAAACAAGTAAAAAGTTCAGATAAGCAGAACTGACGCCTGGCCTGAGATTAAGAATCATACCTCTGTAGTAGCAGCAATCCGCAGTACTATGTGGTTTTCCCCAGAAGAGTTCAGCTACCCAAGCTAAGGAGTGGAGGAAGCAGAAAGGGGAGGATCAATCCCAGCTCAGGGGTTTGCAAGATATGTCAAAGGATGGGCAGAGCTGAGGGTCCAGATGGTGAATGGTTGAAGTGATCAACCACAGACAGGATGGAAGGGAAGCAAAGTTGAGGGAGAGGGTAAATGGAGGGATGGAGATATGGATGCAGGCAAAGAGCTACCTTCATGAGATGCAAAGGTGAGAAATGGAAGGACAAGAGGTTATGATCACTGAGTGGGATGCTGGGATGTCAGGTTTCAGAGGTGGAGCAGCTCTAAGTGATGGAAATGAAATGGGTTGCTGAGTGTAGTGGGAAAGGAAAGTCATTGGAGTTGAGGAGCTGAAGAATCTCAGATGGGTCACTTGAATCAAACAGATATTGCTCCAGAAAGCAGGAAGATAACTGCGTGCTAAAGGTTTCTATAAATATGAGGAAAGTGGCTTGGAGTCAGAATATGACAGAAAAGGAAAGGAAGACAATCACAGATATTTACAGGAACCAGTACAATATTCAGTTTGACCATAGCACCCAGGGTAGATTGGGTAAAGGGGAATCACATGAGGTATGGTTACCATGATAGGTTGGGGCAGAATAAGAAAGATCTTTGAATGTTAGGCTAAGAAGCCTAGACTTCATCAGAATGGCAATAGGAAGTCACTGAAAGTTAGTGAGCGTCTATGAGAGGTACACTTTGGGAAGATAACAAAGGAGACAGCACTGGGCTCAGGGTCAGAAGACTGGTTTCAATAATAAACAGTAGCTACCATTTATTGCGCAACTTTGTACAGGCCACTGTGCTAAGCACTCTGGGGGTGGGAGGGCATCATCTCATTCATTCTCATACCGGACTCAGTTGAGTCAGGTCTTAAGCTGTGTGATCTTAGGCAAGAATACCCTACCCACCCCCATCTGGGACTCAGTTCTTCCATTGGTTAGTAGGAGGGGAATGGGACTCAAAAGTCCTTGCAACAGCCCAAATCTGCCACTCTAGGGCTGTGTGGCCTCACCCTCTTACCAGATGGAATTCAAGAGACTTACAGCTGGAGGAGTTGGGAGCTGGCCCAGCAAGGTGAACCCAAGCAGGACTCAATCACCCGGGGCCAGTCAAGGGAGGCAGAGCAGTTGAATAGCCTCCAGCTCTTTCTTGCTTCCCACTGGCTTGCAGAAAATCGGCGGGCATTCCGTCCTGAGAGAAGAGAGAGTCTGAGGAGAAGGAACCAGTAAGCCCTCACCCAACTTTGTATCTTTAAAAGCTTGGCTCTGTCCCTCCCCACTCTCCCAGACTCCCCACTCTATACCTCCTGAATGCTCAAGCATTTAGGCCTTTCTGTCCCAGACCAGTTTACTTGGCTCTGAGAAAAAAAAAGTGGAATATTTGTTCACTGCTACTGTGGGGCCCTCCTGGGCAAGCCTAAACCTTTAACATGGGGCATGTCTACTTAGTGCTATTCATCTCAGAGCTAAGGACAGTGACAGATGCTCCTGCCTGGGCTGTGTTAGGACCTGAGGCTAAGGCTAGTCTCCCTCACCAGTCTTGGTGTTAGCCACAATCAGTTCAATGGTCCATCTGAGGATGTAGGTGGGCCGGATTCCGCTGTCCCCCAAGACTGGCAGCTCAGAGAACATCCTTTCCAGCAGGGCCTGTGTGAAGGTCTGGGAGTGCAGGCCCCTGAGCAGGGGCTGCCAGAATTGAGAGAATGGCTTTGGCACCAGGATGTCATTCAGGTCCATATTTTCTGATTTGTGAGGGATACAGGTTGATGGAAAGGGGAGTCAGGAGCCAATAGAAGAGAAGGAGGGAAGAAAGAAGCAGAGGGGGAGAGAAGATGGGAAAGAAGGGAAAAAAGAGGGAGAAGGAGGAGGACCCACCAACAATAGAGTTGCCACCACAGAACAGAAAGAGAAGAGCAGAACAGCAAGCAGAGGAACCAGTTAGTATCTGGCAACCAAATGACTCAAAACGAAGTATTAAAAAAAAAAAACCAGCTCTGGTTCTAGCTTCAGCTTTGTCAATAACTCACTGTGTAACTTTGGGTCAGTACCTTCCCCTCTCTGGACCTCAGTCTGCCCATCTGTAATATGAGGATGTTGAACTAGATGACCTCACAAGGCCCTCCAGTTCCGCTGTTCTAGCTCTCTAAGCAAGCAGCTAAATCACAATTAACATAACAAAATAATGGCATTAAAACTCCCCCACATCCCAGTCCACCCCAGCCAATCCCATCCCACTTCATGTCACCCCACCCAATTCCAGGCCATCTAAGAGTAGTCCAGCAACTGAGTAACAGTGGAGATACCTGTTCTGCTCAGCTGAGATAGGCTTCCAGAGACTATGGAATGGCACTTAACAGCCCTTGCCTCCCAGTCCTGAGCCACTCAGCCTAACCCTGGTATTTTTGCCCAAGAAACACAATACTCCAAGACTAAAGTGAGCCCCTAGGACCATACCTTCATAGTTTATCTGCAAAGCTGCCAACTGCTCAAATGTAGGGATGAGAAAGCCATCATCCAGAAAAGCATCCAACACAGCCTCCCTGCAGAAAGAGGACACTTAATTAAGTCAATTGAGCAGACAGAAGACCCTCTTCTACTCCCTTACCCACTCCCAAGGCATCTTACGCCTCTGACTTAAGTGGGCACAGCAGCATGGTGGAGGTAGGAATGAAGGCAGCTCTGACAGTTGGATCTCAGGGCTCAGCTTTCTGGGGCAGAGGCTGGGCCAGATATTGGGATCAGTGAGTTTTGAATAAGCATTTACCAAGCACATGCTTATCTAAGGCCCATAATGAGGGTAGCAGCAGCTCAACAAGCCTGAAAGCACAGATGGAGAAAAGGTGCCAGGGTGATGCCTAGGGTCACAGGGCCAAGGGCTTTTAGACTTTAACTATTACTCAGTGTCTGTTTCTCTTGACAGTCTTCCAGTCTTTTACCCCTCCCCTTTTTCTGGGTTACCCTCTTTCAGATCCTAGAAGCAGAAACTTTGGTGACTCAATTGCTGAAGCAAATATAATCCTTATTCCTAGGGACCCCAAGAACACAGAAATAAGTTACAGAGGTTGAAAGCATAGGCTATAGAGGTAATTCCTCACCTCATGTAGCTCAAATGTGGGGCCAGTACGGGAGTTGTGGGCCCACCCTTGCATTCCCTGCCCTACCCCAGGAAGGGAAGTGCTGATAGACACTAGCTGTCTAGTGACAGCTAGCTGTCTTCTCCAGAGCTAGCAGGTCCCCCAAGAGAGGCTCCCCCAGCTGACCAGGCCTAGAGAGGGAACATGAGCTCCCAAGGGGTCTCAATGGCCAGAGGCATTGTCAAATCATGCTGTCATGCTTAGATCCCTCCCTCCACCAGGTTTGAAGTGGAAAGAGTTGTCCTTTCATCCATCTCCCACCTCTTCAAGTCAGTATCCAGAAAGAGCTGCCTGCTCAGCATAAGCAGGCAGACAGTACTGTACAGAAGTACAGGGAGAGTTGTCCCAGCTGCTGAGGGGGCCTTTGCTAAAGGGTGCTAAGAATCCTAGGGTGGAAAGACACTGATAGAAACATCTTTGGAATTAATAGTATCCTGGGAATGAAGACGACTCTGGGCAATCCCAAACTGCACTGTAGGCTCTCACTCAGGCCCACTCTGCCACCTATACGACCTTCCTAATCTGCTCCATCCCAGATTTCTTCCACTGTCTCCCTAGTTTGGAAAGTCTAGCAATGCCTCCATTGGTTCTTAGTGGAAGGTCCCCCAAAGCCCTTTCCAGCTGAATTTAGGTAGCAAGACCCAAGACCTAAGAGCTAGGGAGGAGATGAATGGATAGATTCTGTCTGCTCTAGATGGAACTAAGCACTATGGGGTGGGGGGGGGGGAGGCTCATGGCCACACAGAGCAGGGAGGTACTTACTCTTTCAAAGAGCCACACTCTGGATAGCCTCTCCTTTGTTCTCCCAACCAAAACTATCCAAGGGACATGATTACTCCCCATGTGCAGTTCAAAAGATCAGCAGCACTCACCTTATTTTTTACCTCAAACTTGGACAAGGACTAGATAGTGAAATGGTAAGGATGAAGAGCTTTTCCTCCCTGCCCAGAGCTCCATATACCATTGGACAGAGGAACAAATCTAACCAGGGAACTGATGATAGCAGACAGTCCTGTCTCTGGCCATTTTAGTGACTCAGAGTAGGCAATCCCTACCTGGTAGCTGGCAGGGCAAGGGGGAGGGTCATGCAGAATTTGGGTCACTCTGCAGGGGATCAGGATTATCCCTGAGATTTCCTTACAGGTTGGCAAGCTGGGATATGGAAGCCTACTTCAGTGAGGCTGCTAGAGTAAACAGCCTGATTACTTACATACCTGTTTTCACATGTAATGCCCTTGAGTTCTGCCAGGATGCATTCTACAGGTGGAGATAGGTTGTTCCATGCCTTAATAGCCTGAGGTAAACGCCTAAATTTCTCCAGCACCTGCCAGCACAGAAGTTACTATCAGAAGGCTGGTTCAGCCAAGCAACCCTCTCCCACCCTTCAAGGATCCCTTCCCCTAGGACCTCTTAGCACCTCCCTTTTTTGCGATAAGGCAGGGCATACAAGGGTGGGCCCACAACTCCCTGACTTGGCCCCACATTAAAAAAAAAAATATCCTGACCTTCAAATCCCAGACTTTCTTCTCTTCTTCCTCCTCCCTCCCTACCTCGAATTCCTTATGGCTCCCAATCACCAGATACTCCAATACTAAGATGTCCAGTGGGGGCATTTTGTTGGAATTGGCCCAGAGACCCTTGGGTCCAGGAATGAGGGGAAGCAACGGATTATGGAAGAAAGGAAATCAGGAGACCAAGATTCTAATTCTAGTTCTATCACTAATTGCATATGTAACCTGGGGCCAGTCCCTTCACTCATCTGTGGTTCAATTTCTTCATCTATGAAAAAGAAGAAGTCAAGCTGAATTATTTCTAGGCTACCTCCCTTCCTGCTAAAATAGCATCCCCTTAGGAAAGTTCCTGGGTGCCATCTGCTTATCGGCTGCAGTATTGCAGGACCATGCAACCACCTATACCCAGTTGTTCCCTACCACCCAGTTGGGCACATTATCCAGACTTCCAACATCTGTTCTCTTCCATTGGTGTGGAGGATCAGCCAAATTAATTCTGCTTCTCTTGTCTCCTTCCTAGTTTCCCCCTCTGGGAAGTTCCCTCAAGCTCTGCCACTTTTCTTTGAAATTCCTTCTCAGGACTTCTCTCAGGAAGCTGGCAAGAGGGAAGAAATGGCTGGGGCAAGTGAAAAAGTCAAGGGCACTTTTCTTACCTTAAACTGTTCCTCTTCATATAATACCAGCAGTTCTCGGGCTCTTTCTGAAAACGGAATGTGGAAACAGATAGGGCATCCCAGCTCTCTCTTCCTCATGAGATTCTGAGGCACTCTCACCTCATTTCTTTTTTTTAAGATTTTATTTATTTATTCATGAGAGACACAGAGATAAGCAGAGACATACGCAGAGGGAGAAGCAGGCTCTCAGCGGGGAGCCTGATGTGGGACTTGATCCCAGGACCCCAGGATCATGACCTGAGCCAAAGGCAGACGCTCAACCACTGAGCCACCCAGGCACCCTTCACCTCATTTTTTTAGTTGTAAATTGGGAACTAGAATTCTTGCCTCTCCTACTTCACAGAGATCAAGGGAAATGGTTTGTGAGAGTAATTATTTTAAGCTAAAACTCACCACAACCCCAGAGGAAATGCTGAGCCAGGGAAATAACCAATGTTAACCTTAAGTCTGTCTTCCAGACTCATGGGCCTCTCTATGACCCCTCCCACCTAAGGACACCTACCATATAGCTCTTTATGTCTCAGAGCCTTTTCCCAATGTGAATCAACCTCTTTGCTGCCTTCGCTGTCTCCATCAACCCTGACATCCAGTTCTGCACCTTTCCCTTTATCCTTAGGCTCTGGTCTCTGTTCTACAATGTCATCAACAACAATGTTTTTATCTTCTTCCTGGTCTTCTTCATCTGTCTCTTCCCTATCCTCCTCCAGCTCCCAGGTCTCTCTCAAGCTGTTTTCCAGTTGGCGGCACCAATAGGTCTTCTGAAGCCAGTCCAGAACAAAATAACAGCCTAAAGGAGGGGAGGAAGGAAAACAATATCATAGGAGTAGCCACAGGCAAAGAGCTCCTAGCAGGCCCCTAGTCTCCTCTTAAAAGCTTTATGGGAAGACCCTAGGGAAGAGGATTGGCTCCAAGAAGGCACAAATCTCAAATATCTAGAAGCAGCCTCTCTTCCTCCAGGTTCTCTCTCTGTTCTTTGCTTTCTTGTGCTCACCAGTACCTTTCCTAGAAGAAACTAACATCAGTATTACAGATGGGGTGCCAAAAGTAACACAGGGCTGGCAAGTGAAGAACAGGGATCCAGGCCCACTACCTAATTACACGGCCTTTGGCTGAGTCTCTTCCCTTTTTTAGATCTCAATTTCCCCACCATGAAGGGACTAGGCTGAATCAATTGGGATGGGATGTCTAAAGAACTCCTAGGTTCATGACATTTGATGGCTCACACCTCTCAATTTGCTCCCTACTAACCTCTTTAGCTATAAAGCTTAAGTGGATGCCAAAAAATGCAGTAATCAAGATATCAAAACAGGATCAGAACAGTGTCCTGCCAAGCCATATTGGAGTCTGAAGCAAGAGGAAAAATCACTAATAGTAATTCAGTTTTTACTTAAAATTTTGGAATTCTGTTCATTGTGGGTTTTTCCACATTAAAATGTTATTTATCTTGATTACTGAACTTTTGACACCCCTTTAAAGTTTGTGCCCAAGACAAGTGCCTTACTTGCCTCACCCTAGTTCTGGCTCTGACACCACTTAGAGATCCTCCTCCCTCTCCCGCTACCCACAGTGCCACCCAGCCCAGGCCCTTTGGCTTAAGCTATGACAGGTATACTCCATACTCACCTCTGCGGCAGTCATTTAAATGGGGCATTTTCTTGTGGGTCAACTCATGGCGAAGTTCAACAATCCAATCTGGAATGTTTACCTGATAGTGAGTATGGGAATTAGAAAATATTAAAGGTGGAAGGGACCAGAGAGATAAATTAGACTGGCCTCACCATATTTTATGGATAAAAATATTGAAGTCCTGAGGAGGTTCCACTCTTTGTGGCAGGGCCAAAATTAGAAACCAGGTCTCCTTATTCTTTTTACTGTTCTGTTGAGGTGATTTTAAAAATCAAAAAGATAGCTACTTCCTCCAACCACCCTCTCCCAACACAGATATTCCTGTGACTGAGCATTAACAATCACCTCCAGCCTTTCTCTGCCCTGTCTATCAATCCCAATCCCTGGGTACCCTTTATCCTTCTTCCCTCCCTCCCATACCCTTTTTCAGGAAGTTTCTCTAGATAGTTGAGAACCTGCCTGCCCTCTGAGCTTCTACACACCTCACATACTCAGGGCAGGAATATCAGGCGTTTTCATCCTGCTCCACTGAGTTTGTCTCCTCCCTCAGACTATCAGCTCCCCAAAGGCAGATACTGTGACTGCCACTTTTTTCCTGTCCTCACCCAGTGGAGCATTCCAGTGCCTCAGCTTCACTGGCCTACTCCCAACAAGTTGAAAAGGCCAAGCCACTGAAGACAGTAGCCATGAGCAAGGGAGCAAGTCTGCTTCTGTAAGCTGGAGGCTGAGGCTCTGAGGTTCTTGCTGGGCTTGGCTGGTAGTGGTGGGATGAGCTAGTCTTAATTGTGTGCTCATATCACCCTATGCCCCATTTAGTGAGTCCTCCTAGGGAGAGAGGACTGAGCAAGGCCGTTTTACCATACACACCTCCTGAGCCAGGAACTTGAGAGGGAGCTTCACAAACTTTGTCTTCCTCTCCGAGATAAGATTCACAAACCTGGGGTTGGGGAAGAAATAAGTGGCACAACCCAAGGAACTGTTTTACTCAAACACCTTGTTGTGTTACTGACACCCTGCATTTCTACAACCTTTCTACTAACTGTTCTGTTCTGTTCTTATGACTGGTATCAGCCAGAACAGGAATATTTGCCCTGTACTAAAGCCACATAGGTGAAGAAAACACTGTTCTGGCCTTGAAGAGGTCAGTCTAGGATAAATAATAATATAATAAAGCATACTTCACTAGATTATATGTTATAAAGGCTAAAACAAAGGACTACCTACACCAAATGATATGGGGAGCACACCTAAATGATGGAGAAGGTAAGAAGAGCTAGGGAGGGCCTCAAGGCACACAAAATGAACAATATGAGATGAGCAGATTTTGACACATGAGAAAATTCAGTGGCAGCCTTTTTCCTAATGTGTATGAAACAGCTATAACTACTCTAAATCACTTTGTTAGTCAGGAACTCCCAGGCCAGGTGTCCACTTCAACTCAGCAACTTTTCAGTGATCATGAATAGAAAGGGAAAATTATTGTGCTACGTAAAGATGGGAAAAGGGTTGAAAAATCCACATTAAACCATGGCCAAGGACACCAGACTAATCAGAAAAATTCTTCTGGGTAAAAGAGTTAAGGGGGAAGGAAAAAATCAAATTATCAAAACTGGAAGAGACTCAGAGATCACTTGGTGTAAACCGCCCCCACCCCACATTCCAGAAAGAAGAAAAATGGAAGGGAGAAGGCTCTCAGGGGGAAAAAAAAAGAGGAATGTGTGTTGACAGGGAGTACCAAAAGCTGTCAAGTCAATCACAGAGTGACCCATACAGAGGGACATAGGGGCTTTTTGCTTCAGGTAGCACTTAAAAGCCAAGCTTTGCTTATCAAGTGCTACCCCCACTCCCCATCCCTCAACCCACCCCCACTCCCAACCCGTGCCCCTGCAAGTCTTACCTGACCAATGCCATTCCATAAAGCAGTCTAAGTTCATCAGTGCCCAAGCCACCAGTTACATCCATGAGCTTACAGCGTACCAGGTCAGCAGTAGAAGCCACTGCCAGGGGGAGTTCGTTGCCTAACCTAAAGAGCCACAGTCCAGCACCATCATAGCGGTCCTTCACCCTGGTCCACCCTCCACCTCAGAATCTAGGTTGCTTTAAGTTATTCCAATTACATAACTGGCTGAAGAGTGCAGGACAAGACACACATCAAGAAAGTGAGAAGAGGGAGGATAACGTCCCTGGGATCCAATAGTATACAGGGTGTGAGAGACTGGCCAGGGTATACAAAGGACACCTAACTGCTAGTCAATCAACCAACAATTAAGTGTGGACACACCCCCTTTCTTTCACTCTAAAACCTTCAATTCATTCAGCTAAAGAAGACTTCATTCTTTGCTCCCAACTCAATCTTACCAAGTGGACTGAGGTGCTCCCTTCAAACAAGGTTTTGTTAGCAAACACCACTGCCTTCCAACCCAATTCGACTCAGAAATCCACCCCAGAGTGTTAATCTACTCCTAAAGCCCGGGTTCAGACACCCTGGTCCCTCTGGCACCTTCCCCAAGACAGAAGAAGGTAAGGGTTAAAAGCTCAAGGATTTTAACAAGAGGGTGGTTGAGGCACACCCACTTCCTCTTTCCACACCGGATTAGTACAAAGGATTGGCAATGACTTTCCCCCAGGCCCTTGGAAAAGGGGCAACGCCCAAACCCCCTTTAAGGGCTTTAGGCATTTCGTAGATTGAGGAAGAGGTGAGGCGCCACCAGCACGCAAATAGGACGGCTGAGCCTGGAGTCTTACCTACTCCTCCACACGGTGATGCGGTTCAAGGCATACCGCTGCAATTTATGGTCGTCACAGAACAGATACACCGTCACCTGATCCCACTCGGCTCTACTGAGCCAGGCGACCACGATACGCTGGGCCCAAAGTGGCGACGACCCTTTCTCTTTAACGCACTTTCCGCACCACGCACTCCACACGCGATCCATCCCCTGAAGACCTACACCTGGCTGGGCCCCAGATTCCCACCGGACACTGGGCTCGACCGCAGGTCTTGAGTCGCAGCACTTCACACAGCTTTCAGTTCAACGTGCTATCCTCACGCCAAACCACCGTTGTGCCAACAGCCAATGGGAGAGCGTGACCCAGACGCAAACCCGCCTCTCTGCGTTAACGTGGCAAATCGGAGCACGACAACCGGGGACCTATCTAACTACAAATCGGGGGCACGTCTTTGCCAGCCGGAAGTGCTCTTTTCTCAAAGCAACCGTGCGGGCTGCAAGCGTTCAGCCTCAAGGTTCCGGTAATCTCCTGGTTGCTAACGTGCTTCTGTCCCAGACCCTGAGGACGTGTCTAAACTGTGGGAGGAGACAGCCCGGTCGCTCAGCGGTTTAGCGCCGCCTTTGGCCCAGGGTGTGATCCTGGAGACCTGGAATCCAGTCCCCCCTCGGGCTCCCTGAATGGAGCCTGCTTTTCCCTCTACCTGTGTATCTCTGTTCTCTGTCTCCCATGAATAAATAAATAATATCTAAAAAGAAAAATAAACTGCCGGAGGAATTTCACTTTGCACGCCCTTTGGCGGGCAGGGGAGTGATCATGGTTGTCCTGTGTACTGAGAATGTGGTTTTAAGTATGTTTTCATTGCCATGAATCAGCACCTGATCCAGAAAAACACTATAGACACTAAAGCAAGACTACAGAGCAAATATTGAAATATTTAAAGTTGGATTTAAAAATCTGCTAGTTTTCACATCTGTACAGTGACGGGCTTAGACTTGGTGATCTCTAGGTTCTCTTCCATAGTTGGAAATTGTAGGATTTTACTCTCCCAGCATTCCACTCTATGTCGGTTTCAATATCTACATAGGTATACTTCTTTTTTCCGCATAATTCCTTAGGATTCTGGAGTTCCTTGGGGACAATTTTATGAAACTCTTCTGATTTTATAGGTTGTCTAAAATGTGTTCAGGGTTCCCTTCCAATCCTTCTCACAGGTGTTATTTTCCAGTCTAATACTAGAGAGAACTGTTCATAGCAATCTTAACAGCATTTCTATGAGTAGCTCTTTTTCACTCTATAGCAACAAATTCCAATCCAGTCTCCATATGTGCTTCTTTATCCATTCATTTTCTCCCTGAAATGTAGTATTCTTATGGTTCTTGAATGACAGTTACTCTGTCCTGAGTAGCTATGCCAACCAGTAGGCCAGGTGTTTGCCAGAAACCAGATACCTTTCTTGGGTATCTTGGCTACACACAGGCAAAGACGGGGAGAGATGGCTTATATGACCCTTAAAATATACTCCAGTCAGAGGAGCTGCCAGGTCTGAAGGAATAATCTGTGAACATTTTGGGGGTTTAGAGGCTGATTCTGGATAGTGTGTTTTTGTAAAGACCCCTATCTTTCCCCTTTCATTCCCATGAAGCTGAAGGTCTCTCTATTCCATGTGTTCCAAGAAATTTTGACTAAAGTGCATAACAAGAGCACCATGTCCAATATGTGACAAATGAGTCCTGACACCTGTTGATAATTAGGGATTACTAGGTCAAAAAGTGTTTTAAGTAGTGATAGCCTTGAGGAGGCACTTATATTAGTTTCTGGCCACTGTAAGAAATATCTGCAAACTTGGAGGCTTAAAACAGCAGAAATTTATTATCTCACAGATCTGGAAGTCAAAGATCTGAAGTCAGTATTATTTGGCTGAAATCAAGGTGTTCGCAGAGCCATAGTCCTTCTGGCTGCTCTAGGGGAGAATCCGTTTCTAGTCTTTTCCAGCTTCTGGTGGCCACTGAAATTCTTTGACATAGTCACATCACTCCAATCTTCAAGGCCAGCATCTTCAAATGTCCCTCTGCTCTGTCTTCACCTTTTCTTTGTGTGTGAAAGATCTGCAACTATTCAGGGCTAATCTGGATAATCCAGGAAAATCTCCCCATTTTAAGATTTTAATGTAATTATATCTATAATTAAAATTTTAAAATTCTTTAAAAAATTTTAAACTTCTTTATTTAAAATTTTAAATTTATTTACATGTAAAGTACCATTCTTCCATTTTATTTATTTTACCATAGAAAGTAACAGTCACAGGTTCCAGGCATGTACCATGGAGATGTGTTTTGCTTGCAGGGGAGGGTGCCTTTTTTCAGCATACCACAGCCACAGGAACTATGGAATCCATCCTGTCACATGTTCAAGAAAACTAAAACTTCATAGGCCTATGGTGCTGCAGGACCCTTCCAGCTGTACCAATGGGCTTGAATTAAACAAGCACTCTCCAAGTCTAAGGCATTGCCTGTGAAATATTTAAGTTGATAAAATTTATCTGCAAGCTACTGCTTCCCCTTGTGTGTTTCTCCATCCCCCTCCTTCTAACTCCCCACTCCTACTTTTGTACATCCCATTCACCTGAGGCAAGCTTGAGGCCCCTAACAAGCACATACCTCTAAGTTGCTATCCCTCAAGTCTCCAGCTCTGGTTCTATCTCCCTTTGGAGCCCCAAATCCATTTACTTAACTCCCTGCTACATTCAATATCAACCTAAAATAATATCAACCTAAAATATCAAAACTAAAATAATTTCACCATAAATCTGACACCCTTCCTGTATCTTCTGGTCCTAGTAAATGGCAACAGTATGCACAAAGTCATCCAAACTTCAGTCTTTGCATCGGACAGATTGGAGTTGAGTTCTGGCTTCACCACTTACTATCTGTGAAAACTTGAGGAATATATTTTCTATGCCTCATATTCTTCTTTGTGTGTGTGTATGTTTATTTTTTATTAGACTTCAATTTGCCAACATATATATATAGGATAACGGCCAGTGATCATCCTGTCAAGTGCCCCTCTCAGTGCCCATCATCTAATCACCCCATCCCACTGCTCACCTCCTGTTCCAATCCCCTTTCTTCATTTCCCAGAGTTAGGAGTCTCTCATGTTCTGTCACTCTGTCTGATTTTTCCCACTCATTTTCTCTCCTTCCCCTTTAATCCCTTTAACTATTTTTTATATTCCCCATATGAGTGAAAACATATAATGTATGTCCTTCTCCAATTGACTTACTTCATTTAGCATAATACCCTCCAGTTCTATACACATTGAAGCAACTAGTGGGTATTTGTCCTTTCTAATGGCTGAGTAATATTCCATTGGATGGATATATCACATCTTCTTTATCCATTCATATGTTGATGGACACCAAGGCTCCTTCCACAGTTTGGCTATTGTGGACATTGGGGCTATAAATATTGGGGTGCAGGTGAATCAGCTTTTCACTGCATCTGTATCTTTAGGGTAAATCCCCAGCACTGCAATTCCTGGGTCATAGAGTAGCTCTATTTTTAAATCTTTGAGGAACCTCCACACAGTATTCCAGACTGGCTGTACCAGTTCACATTCCCATCAACAGTGCAAGAGGGTTCCCTTTTCTCCACATCCTCTCCAACATTTGGTGTTTCCTGTCTTGTTAATTTTCCCCATTCTCACTGGGGTGAGGTGGTAGCTCATTGTGGTTTTGACTTGTTTTTCCTTGGTGGCAAGTGCTGCAGAGAATTTTCTCATGTGCTTGTTGGCCATGTCTATGTCTTCCTCTGTGAAATTTCTGTTCATGACTTTTGCCCATTTCATGATTTGATTGTTGTTTCTTTGCTGTTGAGTTTAATAAGCTGTTTATAGATCTTGGATACTATCCCTTTATCTGATAGGTCATTTGCAAATATCTTCTCCCATTCTGTAGGTTGTCTTTTAGTTTTGTCGACAGTTTCCTTTACTGTGCAGAACCTTTTTATTTTTATTAGCTTCCAATAGTTCAGTTTTGCTTTTGTTTCCCTTGCCTTCATAGATGTGTCTTATAAGAAGTTGCTGTGGCCAAGTTCAAAAAGGGTGTGCCTGTGTTGTCCTCTAGGATTTTGATGGAATCTTGTCTCACATTTAGATCTTTCATCCATTTTGAGTTTATCTTTGTGTATTGTGTAAGAGAATGATCTAGTTTCATTCTTTTCTGCACATGGCTGTCCAATTTTCCCACACCATTATTGAAGAGACTGTCCTATTTCCAGTGGATAGTCTTTCCGGCTTTGTCAAATATTAGTTGACCATAGAGTTGAGGGTCCACTTCTGGATTCTCTATTCTGTTCCATTGATCTACCTGTCTGTTTTTGTGCCAGTACCACACAGTCTTGATGATCACAGCTTTGTAGTACAACTTGAAATCTGGCATTGTGATGCCCCTGGCTCTGGTTTTCTTTTTAATATTCCCCTGGCTATTCATGGTCTTTTCTGATTCCACCCAAATCTTAAGATGACTTGTTCCAACTCTCTGAAGAAAGTCCATGGTATTTTGATAGGGATTGCATTGAATGTGTAAATTGACCTGGGTAGCATTGACATTTTCACAATATTAATTCGTCCAATACATGAGCATGGAATATTTTTCCATCTCTTTGTGTTTTCCTCAATGTCTTTCAGAAGTTTTCTGTAGTTTTTACGGCATAGATCCTTTACCTCTTTAGTTAGGTGTATTCCCAGGTATCTTATGCTTTTGGGTGCAATTGTAAATGGGATTGACTCTTTCATTTCTCTTTCTTCAGCCTCATTGTTAGTGTCTAGAAATGCCACTGATTTCTGGGCATTGATTTTGTATCCTGCCACACTGCCAAATTGCTGTATGAGTTCTAGCAATCTTGGGAGGGATTCTTTTGGGTTTTCTATGTACACTATCATGTCATCTGCGAAGAGGGAGAGTTTGACTTTTTCTTTGCCAATTTGAATGCATTTTCTTTCTTTCTTT